GAATATGTGTTTAAACCCACATTTACCTAAGATTAAACTACTCGATGTTTGAGCTTTTACCCTTGAGGTTAGTGGTGCGATCCCAGCTCTGAATAGTGTATGTCATTGTGTCCTTAGGCAAGACACTTCACTCAACGTGCCTATGTATGAATGTACTCTTTGAGTGCTGTGGCTGCGTACAGAAGTAGAGCAAGCGAATAAATAATGCATGAAATTGTAAAGCGACTTTGTGGGTATGGAAAAGTGACATAGACAATTCAACTAATGCATTATTACCCTACATTTGAACAAATCTCCTACAGTGCTAAAAATCAGGACTACAAGAGATCTGACCAGGGACTTAACTGAGGTCTAGAACAAGACTGAATCAGCACTTATGCTTAACTAACCCAACTAAAACTATAGGCTATCAGGGTTAAAGGGCCCATATTATGCTGTTTTCTGATCTATGTTATAATGTTTTCTCATCACAAACATCCCTAGAGTTGTGTTTTTTTTCATTCACACGTTTAACACTCAAATCTTGCATATTTAGGCAGATTTCTCCTCTCAAACTGGTGATCTGTTCCACCTTGTGATGTCATGTGGTAATACAGGAAGTGGCCCATTGTGTTTTACACTCTATACATCTTCAGCAGAATCATTTGAACTAAATCTCTACTTAACTAAAGGTAAAACTAGGTAGCCTGATTCATCAGCCGGTTTCACTTCATGGAAACCGTCTGACCTTGCAGCATTAGGTTTAGTTCACTCGATGGTAGGCAGGTACTTTTTTATTTAACCAATCGCTGCTATTTGGTCGTGATGTATGGAATGCATCGCTAACGGGGCTAACTGGTATATTATACTTTTCTCAAATCCCGTAGGAAGAAGGGCAATAAAGTCTTTCTCCTTGATAAAATTCACCAAACATTCTCTTTGTTCCGGCTTTAAATCCTCGATCTCGGGAATCGTTGCCAACACAGAATGTATGGCTCTTTGCTGATTGGCTGGTGCCCGGAATCGCACTTCCGAGGTTCTTGCGAACCGTCTAGTGTATTCTGATTCCTGACCTAGTCGCTGGAGAGAAATTAAATTGAGCAGAGGCACTAGGTGGCGCCAGATTGGCTAGTAAAACATAGCTGTTAACTTGAAAACCATTACACTACATGAAATCACAAGGTAGAACAGAGCATTTGGAGCTTTGAAGATGTAGACAAACTTATAATAAAAGGTTACTCAAATGTGAATCAAACAAAATATGACTCTGGGTATCGTTTAGATGAGGTGTCAACATTATAACAAGGTTTAAATGCTCACAAGAGTAAATTTTGTGGAATATAGGACTTTTAAAAGCAGGAATAAAACAATACACATTTTGTCAAACCAGGACAAAACCATGTCCAACTCAGATTCAATGAAAATTAATTGTGTGAAGATTAACCCAGAAATCAACCAGCTCCATTCAAACCCAAAAATATACTCTTCATGACCCCTAACACACACCCCACCAGTGCCCCAATAGTGCCCCCTATGCCCCACTTTGAGAAGCGCTGCTCTATTCTCGTGACAGTAATGAGCGATTGTACATAATCACAAATACACACACGGTAATCCTCTCCCGGCCTGTGCCAACACAATCTGGCAGCTCCGAGTGGCACACGTGAAGAGAGAAAGGCAAAATGAGGAGAAAAGCAAAAAATAAAAAAGGACTTGGCCTCAATCCTCCGCCCGCTGGCACTTCCCCATGAGACCAATTTAACAGAGCTGCTCCCTAAAGCCTTTGGAGAGATACCAGTCCAAAGAATCAATGATATGAACTCAAAGTATTACAATTGTTGAGTGGAGTCTGTTTAATATGGGTACCTTTTTGCAAGTTGGGGCTGTCAGAAGTATAAAAAAATCTGATACTAATCAATACTAAAACTAATATCGAAACTAAACATTCATTTGAGCGTGTATACAGCCAAAAATCACATTAAAAAGACAACATTTGAGCTTTTCTAAACAGTTTTACTATGATTTAGAGCTTTATCATAATGAATAGAAGACCTAATGCTAAGATAAAGAAGGTATTATTCTGTGTATGAAAATTACATCCTATTACGTTAAAAACTATTAACTTATAAATGGACTAAAATAGGACCAAACCAAGTCTACATCAGGACTAAACTATACTGAGGACTAGGGCTGAACGCTCTATCATTTTGGACCGAAACTCGCGATCTCCAACAACACGATTTTGGGCCCAATTTTAAGGGCGAAGTATAGTTCTGTGTCGACTCAACGCACACTGCCACCATCGCCTTCTCACCGTTGTTTTTGATTTATGGGTCTACATCAAGATCTATACGCCACAAAGTAATTTACCACCACAACACTAAAAGGCGAAGATTTAAACCTGGCGTTCGTGTAAAATTTAACATGAACCATCTCCAATGCAACAGAAGCACAGAACAGACTCATCATCATCAGCACATCCTGTGTCACAAAAAGAACTCTCATATTCCATTAAGTCGTGTCCTTTAGTCCGACAAGGAACAAACTATCTTTTCAGTGCTTATAGTTTATGCAAATTAACTGTCCAGCATCAAATCATCGGTGCAGGACTCTGGTTTGATGTAAGTTTCTGTGATGTTTGCAAATGTTCATGTGCACTAAAACTTGATTTGAAAAAAATCGTGGATGAAATTGAAATTGCAATATCTGCCAGAAAAATCACAATTCATTTTTTTTTTCTTAAAATCGTTCAGCTCTACTGGGGACACATCCTACTATAGACGTAGAATCCGAAATCCAAAATTCCATTCTTTATCAGAAAGACCAGTATTTGAGTTTGAAGTTGATGTTGATTTCTGGGACAAAGATAGATGTGGCCTAATGGTCAAGAAATTTAGGTTATGTTAAAAATATCCACTACATCAACATCACGAGCTGTCCCTTTGATGTGATTTTTTTGCAGTGAGTACACACTGGGGGTGTTCTGCATGTATCTCTATGGTGGAATGTTACCATGGAGACACAATGAACACATTAGCAAACACTGTCAAAACATTTTAGGATTGTCTGAAAACTCAAGAAAAGTACAAAATGGCAAGTTAGTATTGCAGTTCCAGTGAAATCAGTTCTTCATGGTCCGATTGTGTAAAAATAAAGATCAAATCGAAGTCTAACTTGAGTACGAGCTTCAGACAGAGCAGAGTTAGTCTCACATTGTAAGTCATTGTATAGGCTACTTTCCTTTATTTTTTCTTTATATTTCCAATGTGTGTAGTTATTTGCATATTGATGAAGCTTTTGTTTTGATGCCCTTCATGACAAAGCCCATTTCTTTTATCCAAACTTGCTGTAATCACAACATTCACTGACCGGAGGCCTCTTACGGCAAGGTTCAATTTGTCAGAAACAAATTGTAAAGAAAGTGAATTTATTTTTGACTACCTATAGGTGAAATGATCATGAAGTCATTGGAGAGAAAATGTTAATAAGCTGCTGAAGTGTTGGTGCGCCGCAGAGAGCGAGGTGAGGTGAATGGGCGATTAGCTCATTTAAAGTCTGGCCGGCGAGGAGGGGTCGAGACAGTCGAGAGGTAAAAGATTACATTTTCACTGTGATTACCATAAGAAGATTTGGTTGGGCAAAAGGCCAGGAAACCCCAGCACAGCGAATGTGTGTACAAGTGTGCGTGTATGTGTGTGTGTGTGTCCCTGTTCACACCAGGGCACCCAAGGCAATTATGGTTTTAAGTCAGCGGGTTGGAATCAATTATCACATGCCAACTTCCACTAGTCCATCTGTCCTCTTTGTGCAGGCTTTTCATTCATCTCTCAAACAACTGCTGATTCAATTATGGAAAAATTGTACTTTTTTGGCTCACGACTGTACTCTATTTTTAGACTTTTATTCTCTGAGGAGCACCTGATACAGTTGCCTGGCAGTCCAGAATATCTCTCTGTATTCTGGATCAGCACAAGCAGCTCATTGGTTATTGTTCTTGTGTTTTTTGTGTTTTTTTTGGTTTGGTTTGTTTTTGTTTTCTGACAAAACGATTGCATTTTTGACCCCTGAACGTTGACAAAAAGTCTCACATGGGGGTATCAAATCAGCTGGCCTGGAAAAAATGTGCATCGCGACAATCCCTGAAGCGACCCGACCCGACAGTTCCGCGAAGTGGTTTGGTGCAGGCAAAAAAATAATAATTCGAAGCAGTGATATAGAACAATGAGACAAGCCAAAAGTTGAAGTGTTGCACTGCATTATCATGAACAGGGAGTCGGCCATATTGGATCAAAAATTCAGAGCTGATTCAACTGCAGTATTTATAAAACAAATCAAGTTTGTAATTGGTCCAAATGAGTTTAGCTTTGGCATGCCACATCTAGACACATTTAGGTTCACAAGTTATCCCCTTTATATCTATAGAATGTACAATATAATTAAACACTTTTATTGTTATCTCATTTAATATTGCTGCACATATCACATTTTGGAACTTCTTTGGAACTTCTGTGCCACCTGCTTGTTTTCTGAAATGTCCCAGATTATGGCATTCATTTGACTTCGTGTTAATTTCACTACAGGTGTTTTTATTGCTCAAAAATACCTGGGAAAACACATGCATTCTTACTCTTAAATAGGGTCACCTTTTCACAAAACTGACCGGCAACTTGGCCTAGGAAGAACTTCTGTCTTATCTCCATGGAGATAGCAAGGTTTAATGCCACAGTGTGTAATTTAATAGGTAAATATATTTGGTCAGAGTGAACATGTAGATCGGAAAGATTAAGGACCAGCTGGTCTTGAGACTTGAATCCTCAACGTGCTGGATCAGAGGAAGGACTGAGGAACTACAGCCAGAGTGCAGTAGCTTTTGTTAAGAAATGTCCGACTTATTTAATCCTGATCAATTCAATACTATTATTTTAGTGTGAATTCTCTCATCATAGTGCCGACCCTAAGCCCCAACTGTGTAAGACATGACATAGTGACCTTTAGCACAGAAAACCCACAAATACAAGAAATGAACGGACCATGTTTAATTATTTATCACCTACAATTAACATGTTTTTTCCAGCGCCATCTTTGTGTTAACTTGAAGGCAGTTGTGGTTTCCAAGGGTCAAAAGGTCTTCAGTACATATATACACAGCTCCATTGGGTTGCATTTGATGGTTAAAAGCTGTCCATCTTTAGCTGATTTCTCTAAAAGCCCTCTTCTCCACATACTTGACTTTATGTCTCCTCTTGAACCTACAAAACAGGAAAAGAAGTGGTAAGTACTAAGTAGAAGTAAACTAAACTGGTCAGCCCTATTTAGATACAACTGAATAGTGCTGTGACAAAAATCGAAAGATTGATAGATCGTGATCTAATCTTAGATCGATCTCGATAAGGCAAGTGCATTTTAGTTGTCAGATCTAGAGCCAGTGTTGTGGCAGTAGAAGAGTGTTGTGCACCACTCTCTTGTTTAGGTGAAAGCTCTGAGTCAGAGCCACAGCGTGTTCGTTTATCTGCTCACGTGTCTTCGCCTTTCAGGTTTTGACTTAAGAGTGCAAATAAATAAATAAATAAAATAAATACAAATACAATACAATAAAATACAATAAAATAATGGTACTGAAGAAAAATAATAGTTTAAAGCAATATAAAAAGTTCAGTTTAGAAGGCAGCTTCCCCACAAACAAATTATTGTAATTGTATTTCACGTTCAAGATATAGCATAATAAAGATTTATGGTGACTGATCTAAAATTATATTATTAATACAGTAGGTACTGAAACAAGACTATGACAACATGACATTGCAGACTATTGTGTGCATCATCGATCAAGAAAAAAACATAGCATTTTAAAGCTAAGTACAGAGCAGCGGGTGTATGCCAGTAGTGGTGAACTGGGGATTAATTAGCAATATGGCATCTTGAAAATAAATTAATGACTGCTCAAACATACAAAAATCACTCCAAATACAACTTCTGATGAGTAAATAGGGAGAAGAAACAACTACAACATGATTAAAAGTTTTAAAAAGGTGGACTTGGCATAGTGGGTCTGCTTTAAATCTTAACCTTTGCGCATTTGTTTTGGTTTGTCTGTGAGAACAGGCTGAACACTAGCCGCCTAATCTGTGCCATTGATTGACTTCACCTGTCACTGGTCATAATGCTACGCCTGATCGGTGTGCTCACTGTTAAGCCTTGGTGACAGGTTACATAATAGTGACTGGGGTCCTTACTTGGCTCTTTCTCTTGGTTCAATCAGGTTTCTCTTCTGGAGACTCTTGAAGCGGTCCTTGAGCACGCTGCCCTCTGGCTGCAAAAAGGTGCAATTGCGTTTTAAAAAAGACATGTCCAGACAATGTCACTCAGCGTTAATTCAATGCACAATTCCCACCTAAATTACAAAATCCTATTCTTATTACAAAGGGTGGTTAAGGTATTAGGCGTAATTGCAGAAGATAAGCTCTTTAAAAGGAGAATTTTCCACGGCCAATTAGATAAAGTACAACTATGAGGATTCTTTTGGGAAAGTGGGTCGCAGAAGCATTAGAGGGATAGAGCTTAGAGTAAGACAATGCAGCCGGCACAAGATTAAACAAAAGATCCAAACTCATTATAGATATAGTCAATGCCCTCAGTCCTCAGAGGTCAAATGAAACAATAGACTTTGTTTTAAACATTTTGACATGTTACTACTTATTTCACCAATCGTTCACTGTCATCCTATTTAAGATTTTACTAAAAATAGTGTCTAGTTTTGGTTTAGTTAATAATTTAACTTCCAGGCTGGACACAGGCAATCAATATTTTACGTAGAGGTAATTCAATAACTTTTACCTAACAGCTATAATATAAACAAGGTCCAAAACATGCCTAAATTACACAATACTTGATTACAATGCCTTTATTTTGTTAAATAAAGAAACAAACAGCCATCAGAATGCTTGAGTAAACTGTTCCTGCATTTTGGATAGATTTTTGGGTGTTGAGGACATAGGTAGAGATATTCCACTACTTCCTGTATTTTTGTTCTTTTCTTTTAAACGTTTTGCCGCTTAACTATAAAAACTGTGATAAATATTTACCAAAGGAACTATCCCACCAAACCAATAATAATTAATAAGAAAAACAAGAAAACCCATCATAATTATGTGCTTTAAACTTACCTTGAGTCGTCGAAGGGAATCGGCCAACTCATCACTCAACTGGACCTCCATGTCCTGTGGCTGGAATCTGTGTAATGAAAGAATAATAGCATAATAATTTAAAAGACACAATGATTTACAGCTAAAATAAGCAACTGTCTTAGAAAACATTTTAACTCAACATAAATCAGATAACTTCAATAAGACTATCACATCAGTGTATTTAGTTAAATCTATGGGCTGGCTGTCACTTTTTAACATTAAAACACTTTGATATACTCGGATATAAAAAAAATAAGATGAAAAGTGAAGTGAAAAAAATATGGAAAAAAATCATATTGCCCAGCTCTACTCCCTAAACACAATGGTGGTTTTTGAGAAGGTAACAGCATTCTAACACAGTTTAAAGCTCCCAAGAATCAATTCTGTTAATTCTATGCCCATTATTAGACTAAAGAGGACTACTGTAGCCGCTTCTATAATATTAAATGTGAAATATTGGTGATAGTGATAGTGTAACACGTACACTGGCAGATCTTGTGTGTACTTACTTGAGTCGCCCGAGGCGTCTAGGCTGTGCTTTCTGGGCCTCTTGTTTTGCTTTGCGTTTGGTCTGTTTTTCCTTTGTTTTCTGGTCTTGTTTTTTGATGGAGGTTTTTATCGTTCGGAGTTGGAAGAGCTGCTGCTTCTTCTCCACTTCCTGTTTCTCAGCTAACCGCCGCTGCTCCTGTGATGAGACAGTGAGAAGAGAGGCAAAGATGAAGACTGCAACCTTAACTTTCGCTTGAATGTGGTGTTAAAATATTAAGTGACAGCAAAAAAGGAAAAATCTTAGAATTTATTAAATAAAGGAACATGAACTTTGAACACTGAAATGCCTGCCATTTTTCAACTGTATTTTGCATTTCTAGAGTTGACCAAAGTTGTGGATTAGGGATACGATACCTACCTCGATACATAGGCCACGATACGATACATATCTCGATACAGTGCACTTTCGGTTCAATACGTTATACTTCAAATAGATTCGATATGGTTCAATAAAGAATAATGGCTAAATGATGGATGTGATACTAAAAGTCTTTGTTAAACCACTTCTTGTGCAAAGTTAATACATACAATATACATTTTAATCACTGAAAACTGTGAAAATGTCAAATGTGTTGCATAAACGAGTTTCCTCATCCAAACAAGCAACAAAACTGTAGCTCTGTAACAAAATAATTTTGTAAAATATACCAAAAAATAATCTTGGCGATGTATCGATAGAGCAGTCCCCGATATCGATACTGTATCATCACATTAAACGATACAATATATCGATATTTCAATATTTTTGCACGCCCCTATTGTGAACATTGTCACATTTTATCATATTACAAATAAGTTTCACAAAACTTGCCAAAACTCATTTAAAGAGCTATTTTAAGCTTGGCAGGTATGTAAGGAAAATGTTGGTTGTTTAGTCCATATATTCACAGCCATAGCAACGAAGCATGTTAATCTGTAAAGCAAAAATCCCATTATGTTTAATATAATAAATCATTTACATCAATAAGAGAAATTAGCGGTGAAGGTTGAAGAACTAAATGTTGTTCTTTCTAGTATTATGCATTTTATATTGATTCATTCTGAACCAACACAACAATCAGCACAGTAACAGAGTAGGCAACAATAGAGAGCTCTGTGCACAAAAAAAGAAAAACAAATTACATTATTATTGTAGCACAGCGTTTCATTTCGATAGTGCATTATTTCAAAGGGTCAACACACTCCCACTCTCACTTTGAATCATTTTAAACAAATCAAAGCCTTGGTTATTTTTCTCTGTGATCAGTTTGTAGATGACATGAGTTCTCACATTGCCTTCTGCTCTTTGACATGAACTAACCCAACATATTCAGATCCCATAAAGAAGCCGAAAGTCCCAGCACTACAGTTAAGGTGGTCTTCAGGATCATCGCCATCAGCATCAGTAAATTAAAACTGTACCTTGACTTTCTCCGCCCTCTCTCTCTTCCTCTGCCTCTCAGTTTTCTTCTGAGCGACCGCAATGGCTCCGACCGCCCCCTCGTCCTCCTCCTCTTCATCGACGTCTGAGGCCAAATCTTCATCATCGTCCTCATCCTCCACCAGGCCCTGCACCTGCTCATGAAACGTCGTCTCCTGTGGGGTCCAAATAAAGTTAAACCAATATGATCATCCTTTTAAAGAGTAGATTGGCAGAAGGAATCAAAGGGTTAACTGGCGTCACAAACCTCAGTAGCAGCGTCTTCTTTGTTGTACGCCAGTTGCCGTTCAATTTTCTGCTCTTCCTTCTGTTTTACAACTTCTATTTCATGGGCCTCTTGTAGTAATGACTGGATTTAGAGAAAAACATGTATGTCAAAATAAAGTCAAACATAATGCATGGTTACATTTTTGGAACAGAACACTTGCACACACACACAGACTCATTCTCATAAAAAGTCAACCAGAAAAAGGCACCAGTGACTATAAAATAAATATTTAATTTAAAATTATTGATTTAAGTGCTGTGGCTCAGTGCTATTAGGATGTTGGACTGCAGTAATAGTTTTTGTCCACAAGGGATATGACAATAATACAGGCAGGTCCCACTGTAGTACTAAAAAGGCAAAATACTTCACTTAAATTGTATGAGTGGCATTATAAGCAGGTCACAGGTGGTCATATACTGTAATGCCTGCTCTATAGTAGTTAGTTTATTATTGCAGGAGATTTTAATTTATAATCTGTAGCAGTGTAGAACTTGTAAATGAGTATTTGGAAACGTTCGGTTTGATTTGCGTAGTAGGTTATGGGATGCCTTTTAGCTCCTTACAGCTAGTTCGGAACCTCTTGAGCTTCTTGGAGCTATGAAAGGAAGCATAATGTCTCCTTTCCTTACTCCTTTCTAACTTTTCTGATCAATCTGAATGGTCCTAGTCATAGATAATGATGACACACATCCGGGTCAATAACAAGGTATCCATAGGTGTGACTACGCCAAATGTAAGACTTTTTAAAGACCCTTTTAAGACCACTTGCATGAAAATTAAGACTAACATCGTACTCATTATGCAGGCGAAAAACACCAGATCCGATTCTAACCATTCTGACCAACCAACTATGGTACTATATCTAGAATCTAAGAGCCACTGTGGATTAAACCTACACTTCCCCATGATCCATCCAACGTCTTCCTGCACTCTACTGATTGTTTACTCATTGCCGCCGGCGCCAGAAACCAAAGTATTGTTTGTGCATACTACAAATTACACGTTCATTCACGTTGCTGTTTTTTTTTTTTTTACATCCCTCCGTTTAACATTGTACTGCAGTCAGGTTGAGTATACTAAAAAATAGGCTATTGAAATTTAAGACCTTTGTGGAAAAAAAATAAGACTTGGATAACATAATTTAAAACTTTTTAAGGCCTTAATTTAGAAACATGAAATGTAAGACCTTTTTAAGACATTTAAGACCCCGCAGCTACCCTGAATAAGGAAAGGAGCTTCCTAGGTGCATTTAAACCATTTCAGATGGACTATCAGACTCACCTGATGTGCAAAGAAGTCAGGGTTATAAGATCCTCCAGGAGCAATGACCTCCACAGCAGGAAGCACAGAGGGCTTTGCATTCAGCTTCTCCGGACGCTAACAAAATAAAAGCGTTGATAACATTAACTCATCAAAAAATTACCTTTAGAAAATAATGTATAACATAAGTCATTCAAATACTTACCTTTACTCGCATCTTTTTAGTTTGTTGGAGATACCACGGGTCTGCAGTATCTTTGGCTGGATTCAAATTAAATGGCGCATTAAACAGTGATTTGACAAAAAAGGCAATAAGAAAAAGCAGATGCCAAATAGATTAAAGATTAGAAACATAAAAAGTCAGGGCTAATTCTGGATCCTCTGTTCTTTTTGATAACACACAAATAGCTCTGTATTGACCAATTTAGAAAAGAAAACTCATGGGGCTTTGATGCATCCACGTCAGGCTGCTTTGAAGTTATTTTAAACTATGAATCTCCTCAGAATACGTCAATAACCTGGACTGCAGCCCTCCTATATTTCACAGAATTGTGGTCTCACATAGGAGTGAGAGAAATGTCAGAGAAAACGCATCACTAATTTTTAAATTTCATGTCCTTTTTCATATTGTACTATTTACTGATCTAGATTATAATGTTTCCTCATCAAACCATACCTGGAGTTGGGTGTTATTTCATTCCCAAATGTTTAACACACAAACCTTGCATATTCAGTCATCGTTTGGATAATTACAAACATGGAATTACCAATCTCTACTGAACTATAGGTAAAAAAGTAGCTGTAAACCCACAAAGTACCCCTCCAGGACATCACAAGGTGGAACAGAACATTCTGTGCTTTGGAGATGTAAACAGACTAATAATGAAGGGTTATTCAAGCATGTGTGAATGAAACAAAACACAACTCCAGGTATTTTGTAGGTAGGTATTGGTATTGTAACATGGTTTAAAGCTCAGTCACCATAGGGGTGGTTATATGAAAGTTTTGACAGCAAGACAGTGGTTTGGACAAGTACAAGTGAGATAGAAAGATCTTGAAAGCAGAGATGCTAGACACCATGGCTGGAACTAACAATTATTTTAGTAATCAACAAGTCAGTGATTCATTTTGTGATTCGTCAACTAGTGAAATGATTATTTCTATTGCACATTAAGAATTTTTAAATAAATTATTAAGATTTTTAAGGTTAGAATATGGTGAATGAAGGCTTTTAGATACAGATATAGATTCTAGAAAATGAGAAGCTGTTTATTATTATTATTTTTGTTTTAATAATTACACCATCTCTGTTATAAAAAACAGGTATTTTCTATGCATTGTAGAATCTGTATAGTCCAGAAAAAGATTCTGATTATCAACATTTAACTACAATTTTATTATTGACTAGTCTCGATTCATTAATTAATACTTGCAGCCCTATCAGGCACCAAGAGGCCCATAGATAACCAAATAGGAAATTTAATAAGTGATACAATAAGATATTTTGACCTCAAATTGAAAACTGAAATCAGAATTGAACATACTCTCTTGCTCCCATAGGTCGTAGTAGTCTCTGTTGGGGTTGTTGTTGGCCTCTGTTACTGCCTTTTTGCTCGTTGGCGCTGCACTTCGTCTGTTCAGGAGCAGCTTCTGTCTTCGTGGAGCCACTCCTTTGGCTGCTAACTGGGCACTGCGCCGGAGCTTTTTAGCATTGGGTTGTTGGTAGGCCAAGACACTATCGTTAACAAAAAAAAATCTGTGGTCAACATTGTGCTTATATTGCTTACTGTAATGTTGATCAGCACATAAAAGTGTAATGAAGTTGGTAGAATGTATTTAAAAGCCACTTACTCTTTTGGTGGTGGGACGAGGGAGTCATGTTGCAGGATTAGATCTATTCTCAGTGGACGTGAAGATTTGCCTTTCCTTTTCTTTCCTACTTCAGGCTCTGGTGCTTCACAAATTAAAAGGAAAAATATATATAACATTCCTTGATATGCTTAAACAAAGGATCTTAGATAATAGTGAGTAGCCACTGTTAAACAATATATATTTCAGATGATCATTCACATATTTACCTTTCTCTTCTGTTTTCTTTGGTTGTCCGAGGTCCACAAAAAACAAGGTGTCATCTGACTTCTCAGCGAGCAGACCACTGTGAAAATAGTCAGATCAAAACTTCTTAATGACGTTTCATTATACCAGTATGGCAGAAAATCACTACAGTGCAACACACATGGGGTTGGAGTGCTCAATATACAGAAAAAAATTGTAATCACCCTAATTTCTCTCATAGTATGTACTTTCAACATCTACCGGAAGAGAAAGTATAAACCGAAAATACTTTATCAGTTAATGTTTAGTGACACTTTTATTAAAATGTAGATTAAAATAGCGGTTTTACTTCAGGATTTGAGTGGCAGAATGAAAACATATCACTCTGAACAAATTGAATGTTCTTTCGATTCTAATTTTTTTGTAACTGAATAAGTATTAATTGAAATTACACGGCCCTAACAGATGTGATTATTGCAGTAATATTATTGTATCCTCAGATCCCAGGATGCCGTTCACACAACAGCCTCCTGAGCTCCTCTTGTTGATCTTCACATTCCCGTAATGGAAATACTGGGAGCGCAAGGATGGGATCATCACTGGACACTTTATTTGAGTCCTGCCCTGTGTGGGAATCGAACCCTGAATCTTTATATTATGAGGCGACAGAGCAATCCATTTGGCCACTGTTGCACCCATTGGGCTGGTAATCAGCATTGGATTTAATTGAAATCTTAATATGCTTCAGCAATGATGCCAAGGACATATTATAACAAGTGATGGACTACTTGGATAGACTTTATTTTGGCTTGTTTTGCGTTTCAGATCTAAAATTGGCATTAAACAGTGCATATGGAACTAGTCTAGGCATGACTAGGGTGACCAGACGTCCCCATTTACTCAGACAATCCCAGTTTTGAGCCCTGTGTCCCCTGTCCCAGCAGATTTATCCAAAACCATTGACTTGTCCCGATTTTATACAAGAAATGTCCCAGGTGTCCCTATTTTTGACCAATTTGATCTCTGCCAACACTAAAGAGAGGCATAAATTGCAATTTGTTAAGGTAAAATACAAAAAAATCTGCTTAAAAACTACCAAAACACAAATAAAACGTGACTATACTGACTCGCATGTGAGTCATGAATGGTTTCTGCAAAACTATTTTCCTTAATTACGATTCTCAATTTTATTATAACCAACCACCAAAAAACCGGAGATATCCCAGTTTTTTATTTTGAAATTCTGGTCATCCTAGACATGATCACGTTGGTTGACATGGAAAATAGGCCTTTATGATAAAATTATGCCGTAATAATGCCGTTACAATCTAATGAAAATCCAACGTAGTCAGAATATCTTAAAACAGTATGATAATGTAATTGTAAATATAAGAAATGTCCCTTTATTTCAATCTGGAGCACACAATCTTCACGCTCACTCACCCGGTGGTCCTCTCCTGGTGCCTTATGTCTTCCAAAAAGTCCTCTACATCGTTAATATCACTGTGCTTGTTCCAGTTCTTTTTCTTATTTTTGTTAACGCGTTTTCTCTTGCTGCTGTACAAGCCTGTGGGGTTTGTCGATGATTTTAAAGTGAGAAATCCAGGTTGTGAAGCAGCCACACGTTTTGGTTTTCTGGCCGCCGCCATCGTGGATCCGAGAGAAAAACACGCTTCTTCCTCTTCAAACTACTGCCGCATGTGTTCGTCTGGCGTCACCTACTGGTCACAGCGGGTAAATGCACAAACAATGTATTTATAATTAAATAAAAAAATAGCATGGTTTTATTATAGGATTGCATTTTCAAAGCATTGCCGGTTTGAATTGATGATCTCTTTATACGTCCAACTATATATAAATGTTCTTCAAAAAAACAAAAGGCACATACTTTCACTTCATTTGTATTTTATTCATATTTTAATATAAACAGAAAAAAAAATCAATTTGTATTTCTGGGATGTAGTGTCTTTTTGACGTTCTAATTTGAGCATTTCATGGGGGTGATTTAGTGTATTTTGCATTGCTTTGATAAAGCCTGATTTAAAATTGTCAAAAAGATCAAATAAAATGACAAACTATGACCAAATGTATTCGTGATGTGTTTTACAAATGTGTGGGTTGATAAAGTTGTTTATCTCGTTTGTCCATGTGTGTACTGTGTTGGACCCAAATGCATCATGGGAAGTGTGTCTCCTATCCTACTCCTATGTTCTTTTTCTTTTTTCCCCTCCCTTCGTTTTAAAGCGAGAACAACGCTTTGGACACTCAAGAATAAATTGTTATTTTGTCATATTTTTCGACTTTAAATTTGTCAAAGGTAAGTAACAACACTTTGATAAAACTTTGCTTCACCAAATGATAAAAAGTAGGTTCGTGGATGGTGAGTGTTTAAAGTGTATTTTTGGTGTAAAAGAAAACGCAGAACGAGCTGTTTAGCGCTGCTGTGGGAGTCAGGGACCGAAAAGCGCTCGAGAAATGTCCAAATTGGACTCGAAATTGTGCGTATAGCGAAAGGTCATCTGCCAAAACATGATTAATCAAATGATCCCTTGACATGTCTAGTTCCATTATCCAAAAGTAGTTCCCGCTTTGGTTAAGTAGTTTTTGAAATCTTCGATGGTTTTTATCATGAGTTCCTCGCTCTGCTTTGGCAGTTTTTTCCTTCCCGTTTACATTCTTCAACCAGCGGCCAGCCATCATCTTTACGCGCGATGGTTTCTCTGAACGAGGCAGTCGAGCCGGGCGGTGTCGTCTGTTTTCCTTCAAGATAGCTCATTCTGTATTAAAAATGAGGATTTGTGCACCTCCGGACTAGACCTGTGTGTGAAACGAGCGTACCCAGGCAGGTTGCGCAGAGGGCGGGTCTAGAACTGCGAGTGTCGGTCTGCGGTTGGTGTTTGGCGCACAGCCGCCCGCCTCCAGGACGTTTTGGACGGGATATTATTGGACAAAAAAAAAAGAAAGGTCTTTATAGCGACTGGGAGTTTCGGGTGTCTGCTATGACACAGTTATTACATAAGCTGCATTGAGTGTTTCACCTAAAAATAAACCAATTCAATTCAGCTTTTCACCTCTCTTCACCTCTCTTCATCTTTTTTTGGAAAATGTATCCACTTCCTTAATGGATGTAATTTTAGCTACAAAGTTATTGAGTTACTGAAGAGTTTAATTAAGATTAAACAGTTGTTAGTGGATTATTAAATTAATGAATATATTAATTTATTTCTATTTGAAATTGTCACAACAGTCTTGAGCATCCAAAGCATATCAAAATATGCATTTAATTTTATGTATAGGTTCTAACAGGTCTTTCTGTCCACTCAGGTGAATCGCCATGGCCCGTACAAAGCAGACTGCCCGTAAGTCCACTGGAGGAAAAGCTCCTCGTAAGCAGCTGGCCACAAAGGCCGCTCGTAAGAGCGCTCCCTCCACTGGAGGAGTCAAGAAGCCCCATCGCTACAGGTGAGAACAAACACACAGGTTACATCCAAAATAGATCACACTTTTATAACATAATATAACACGTGTTTAACCTCCCTCTCCTCTGTCCTCAGGCCTGGCACTGTGGCTCTCCGTGAGATCCGTCGTTATCAGAAGTCCACTGAGCTGCTGATCCGGAAATTGCCGTTCCAACGTCTGGTCAGAGAAATCGCCCAGGACTTCAAGACCGACCTGCGCTTCCAGAGCGCTGCCATTGGGGCTCTGCAGGTGAGTCACATGTTTGAGCTATTTAGCTGTTTAATACTTCTGTTTAATGTTATAGGACACTAATAATGTGGTTGTTCTTGTAGGAGGCCAGCGAGGCTTACCTGGTGGGTCTTTTTGAGGACACCAACCTGTGTGCGATCCACGCCAAGCGTGTGACCATCATGCCCAAAGACATCCAGCTGGCCCGTCGTATCCGTGGAGAGCGCGCTTAAACGCTCCTCATTTATTATATGCTGTTTTTTCCCTCTGTCCCTCACTCTGAGTAGTATGGTTTAGGGTTATATATAAAATGTGTGATCATGTCTCCTTTGGTGCTACACGTAGCCTTTATCTTAAATATATCCTATGTTTGCATTATTAATTAGGTCACTCGTGGAAAAAAAAAAAAAAGACTCACAATAATGCTTTATGTCTAATAGGGTGTTTTTGTAAGTTTTGTGATTTAATTTACAAGTTATTGCTAGGATAAAATATCTGCAGACACATGTACTTTGATTGTCGTAGAAGTAGCTCTTATTAATTTTTACAATTAAGGTGTATTTCTACTGTTCAGTGTATCAAAAAACAGATGTTTGGTTCTGATCATCTAAACATGTCATTGTTCTGTGATGACACTGCATGATTTGACAGCGGCATATATGTAGCAAATTTATGTTGATGGTATTTTAATTTTCAACCTCACTTTGTCCAGGTGACATTACTTTTTGTTCTACTCTCAGGTTAATATAACCTTTTTTCTACAGTGTTTTGATTTGTTTTTATTTTGAAGCTAAATATTTGTACTCTGAAATTCATATACCAACATAATAAACACGTGGAAAACTACAGAACTACTGTTTCATTGCAGCTGTCAAGTGTTACAGCTTGCTGTCCTTATGAAAAAAGAACTGCAGTCCATAATCCAAGTTTGCAGATATTACATAAACTGAATAAGATTAACAAACATTTTGCATAATTTTAAGTAGATTGCACATACTCAAAATAAGATTTCTTTTGCGATACAACTTAGTTTCTATTATATTTTTAAACAACTATTTTTGAAATGTCTGGACACTCCAGATGTTTATTGTTAACTTTTTCAATTCACTTTTGGTTAATTTTTGCCACTTTGTTATCCATGCATAACTTGACAATGAACTGCACTAGAAAATATGAGCCTATCTGCAAAAATGTCAAGAAAACCAAACTACTGTTGTGACGACTGTTGCTTTGTGAACACATGATTGACGCGGCCGCCATTTTCCCGTTGGACTGCTTCCCATTGTGGATAAAAATACAGACAAGCTAAACCTTTCTCACGACTTCTACCTACTTTTCCTCAAGGTAAGCCTTCTAAACTGTTTCCTAGTAATTTTAGATAAACTTTTAATGTTTTAGTAACAATACTGCATTTTAGTGAAAAGTGGGAAGCAAAATATGTGTGTTTTGAAGTGAGAAAATAGCAAAGACGAAGAGACAGTAAAATGAAACGTTTTCTGAGACGGTTCATGAGTGGAAATGCACTTTCGAAAAACGCACATGTTCTCTTCGATCCTACGCGGCCGTTAGTGAATAAGAATTGATCCTTTTTAGACATATTGGTTCATTAAAATGTTGTCTTTGCAGTGTGATGGTTAACCACAATGCTTGAAGTGCAGATTTTTGTGAAACATTAATTGTTTTTGTGCAAGGACTCGTCAGCCTGCGTCCTTATCCACCCCGCTCATCATCAATCCGCCATCGTCAGAGCGCGTAGGCGGGGCCAAAACTCTGACAGACAGCACTAAAGCCCGCCCACTGCCATGTCTCTGAGAGATGATTGGTTCAAAAACTGTTTATTAAAATGTATTTATAAGCCAGCCAATCACATCTTACAACACTTGGATATTTTTATGCGTAGTGTTTACTTACAGTTTCTCTGAAAGGGAGGCCAAGAAATCGTAAGATAGATCTGGTAATATTATGTAACTGTAATTGTACAACTTTCTTGTCTTAACTTCTTTGCTTCTTAACTGTCTTTGTGGCCTCAAAACAACCATCATAATATTTGAGTTCTGACTAACTCGTGAACTTTCTGTCCACACAGGTGAATCGCCATGGCCCGTACAAAGCAGACTGCCCGTAAGTCCACTGGAGGAAAAGCTCCTCGTAAGCAGCTGGCCACAAAGGCCGCTCGTAAAAGCGCTCCCTCTACTGGAGGAGTCAAGAAGCCCCATCGCTACAGGTGAGATCGAACGCACAGGTTACATCAAAAATAGATCACACTTTTATAACATAACCTAACATGTGTTTAACCTCCCTCTCCTCTGTCCTCAGGCCTGGCACTGTGGCTCTCCGTGAGATCCGTCGTTATCAGAAGTCCACTGAGCTGCTGATCCGGAAATTGCCGTTCCAACGTCTGGTCAGAGAAATCGCCCAGGACTTCAAGACCGACCTGCGCTTCCAGAGCGCTGCCATCGGGGCTCTGCAGGTGAGTCACATGTTTGAGTTATTTAGCTGTTTAATACTTCTGTTTAATGTTATAGGACACTAATAATGTGGTTGTTCTTGTAGGAGGCCAGCGAGGCTTACCTGGTGGGTCTTTTTGAGGACACCAACCTGTGTGCGATCCACGCCAAGCGTGTGACCATCATGCCCAAAGACATCCAGCTGGCCCGTCGTATCCGTGGAGAGCGCGCTTAAATTTTCCTCCCCCTGACCTCCCCCCCTCCCTTTACCTGTTTTAGAAGTGTTTCAAAAAGATGATTAAAATTATGAGGAAAGCAAAGAGACCTCATGTATCTCGTTTGCGTTGTGCTGATGTTTTAGGGGAGTTTTAGAGCTTTAGAGTAGATATGAAGAGGAGCAGAGGTAATGGTGCTACTCAAACTTACCTCCATGACTTTTACACAGTGTCCAGACTGGATTCTGTGCATTCTGTTGTGGTTCAGTGTGTGCTTTTGTTTTGCTATTACCATGCATGTAAAGCCATATTTTAAATTTGACTAAATATTATAAGCAAAATAAAAAGGAATCAAATGAGAAGTAGTTTAATTTGGTTTTAAGTACATTTGTCTCCTTTTATTAAACCAAACTCCATGAGGCATGCATGTTTTGATTTTGCCCTTTTTGGCCTTCCCTTTTTAAACTGTCATTGTCAGACCTTTCTCAGGTTGATTAAGTTTATTTTTACTTAATTTGACGATGTGTGAATTAGCAGTGTCTGTACATTTTAACTGTGTCTGAAATAAATGAGTGAACACTTCATGTGTATTGTCCCAAACTTCAAAATGAATAGGAACTTATTACCTTACTAAGGTTATTTTTAAGATTACATACTTGTGTGCATTGACAGGGCTTTGCACAAAAATAATAGACTAATACTTTGAAACGGGTGTACTAAATAATCACAGTCTACTTCAGCTGTTACACCACTAGATGGCAGTCAAAAGCCACACAAAGCTACATTGTATTGGTCAGTAATTATGAGCATAGTCTAGTGGTCAAATTCAGAAGTGCGACGTTCATTATTGAGAATAATTAGAAATACATCTAATTTTTAATAATAATAATAATGTCACTTTTATACTTTTGTATTTTAGCTTGAGGCACCAGCATTACCTTGCCAGAGTTTATTTTTATTTTCAAGCATTGTCAGCCTAAACTCATGCTTATAACTTTCCTTATTCAACAATATAAATGGACAAAGCCACACCTTTAGATAGGCTGCACTAAAATACACATGTTGACCTCATGTACCAAACATGTAATGAAACAGTATCTTTAATCCCGTTGTTTTGAATGAGCCTTTGCCAAACACAGTAATCATCTCACTGTGTTGAAGTGCCTCACAGATCACTCAGTGGATCAGATGTTTTCACCACATTATCTCTATCCATTCATACAAAGACAATTTGGTAAAAGGTGGGGCATTGTGTGAAAATGTAAACAAAAACAATGAAGTATAAAGGGTATACATAAAAAGGAAATATACAGAGGTCTATAGAAAGTTTAACATTTGATAATCACTCTTATTGTGATCTTGTATGTTGGCATTCATTTATGTATTTCTTTTAAATTCTGTTATTGAACTTTATGGGGAAGTGGCAGTAATGGGAAGAATACTTTGACAATGTATTTACTTACAGAATACTGAATATCTGCATTAAAATATATTTTGTATCGTATTTTGATACATGGTCTAATCAGAGTATTGTATTCTGAATATTTGGAATACTTTTACATCAAACCCATTATTTGTTCAACTACAAGTGTTGAAATTGCATGATATTGTTGACACAAGTCTCCTCAAAGTCATGTATAAAGCAAAGTGCAATGTATTACCTGTAAATATTCAAAGTCTGTTTGAGATGAGAACAAGCCACTACAACTTAAAAGGAACCTACATGTTCAAAAAAACCCAGATTCAGAACCAAGGTTATGGAGAGAAGTATTACTGTGAAAGGAGTTCATTTATGGAATAGTCTTGACAAAGAAATAAAAGAATCAAGTACCATGATGGCATTTAAAAACATATAAATGAATGCAAAAAGGAAACTAAGTTGTTGTGCATAATAGTGAAGATTTCTGTTTGCAATTGATTAATAATTGTGCCTGAACTGAAATGTGTTAATTTGAAATGTTTTAAAGTAACCATCGGTGTTGATGTATTGTCTGGAAAAGGGAAAAGGGAGTCCGATAACATAAGATGACTCTTCTTTCTGCTCCTTTTCATTCATTTCTTGTATGTTTGATGTTGTGACACTTTATGAATGAAATAAATGAAAAAAAAAAAAAAAACATTTCAATTATAATGTAAAAACACAATATGGTGTTAATAACAGCTTCATATTTGTTTGTGGAGGAGGATAAATAACACATGCCTCACCAAAAGATTAGTGTTGTTTATTTTTCTCACTGATTCTGTGAATTTTGAAGCCTAAATGATCAATAACATAATGTATTACTTTGATTTTAGAAAATGAACTGTATTTTGAGTAGCACCAAATGAAAAAGTAACTGTACCATTATAAAAGTACTCAAAATAGTGCTGTGAATATGTATTCTGGGTACACGTATTCAGTTCCTAACACTGCCCACTGATGTGTAGCCTGTTGTAGAGCATGGTTAAAAATGTTGCTTCCCAAGTAGCAGATCTAAACTCAGACTATATCATGTCTCAGTTAGGGCTTGGTCTAAAATGAGAATAAACCATGGATATAGTTAACCCAATAGATGACAAAACTGTAGGCCAGTTTGAGAAGCACTGTTGTAGAGTGTAATTCGCTTTTACGAGGTGATATGATTTACTTTTCTATATATTTATTAATGTTATTTAAAGGTGCACTGCGCAACTTTTCTGGTGGAGCGTCCACCACCTATTTGTCTCCATGGAGATGTTATTGCTTTACCTGGAATGTTTCATGGATATGCTTCAGTTTGAAGATTTAACACTGCTGACATTGCCCATTTAACCACTACAAATGAACAGTACATAGTTAGTTTTTTAGTTAACATTATACAGTTATTATAAAGGTGTTTAAGATGAAATTTAACTCTTATTTTGTCTAACCCTCTTAACATATAGAATAGGATACAATAGAAAACAGCAGAAAATCTATGTGCTTAAATGCCTACATGTGTCTAAAGCTACACAGCAATGGACAGTGTTAAGAAGTAACTGAATACCCAGAATACATACAACTCTAATTTGAGTACTTGTATTGCGGTACAGTTACTTTTTCCTTTGGTGGTACTCAGAGTCAATCACACAAGAGGGTATGGCATATGTGATAGTGAAGTCTATATTGTTTCTTCTTGTCAGAGGTTTGTGGTGGTGTGCTCCATCTGTGCCAGAGGGATTACAGCCGATCTGTCTGTCTGCTGCTCAAAGTGCTGACCAGACCTGCTCCAGATTAACAGGAGGAGCGCAGGACGGGGCCGCTGGTGCATTGTGGGTAAGAAAGAGGGGGTGGGGGTGAATAAGAGAGAGGAAATGTACAATTTCTGTTATAATGAAAACTATTGTATTTGTCTCTCTGCTTTCACTCTCTGGAAATTATAGGACAGTGTTTTTCAAATATCTCCTTCATAACACAGCATATAGATTAAGTATCCAGAAAAGTTCTATAATCAGAATTGAATACTTTTTGACATATAATATGCCCTTATTTGCTGCTTTTGTGTCCATTGGCAAGACACCTCACCTATTACCCACTGCTCTAAAGCGCCTCCTAATGACCACTTGGGGAATTACACAGATCTATCTGTTACTATCATTATAGGAATAAGTTAATGGGCAAATCATTCCATCCTGTTTAAAATTATTTTGTGAAGCCTTTTACCCATAATAGTTTGATTTGGATTTCTTAATTAACTAAAAAAAGAACATGAATACAACTAGACAAGGTTTTGCAAAGGGCATTAAAAGCACAATACAAAAAAGGTAAATAACATATATTTATATGTTATATTTAAATAATTATCTAACGTATTTACATTTGCCGCAAAATTTTCATCACATGACAAGCTCAAGATCAAACAGTGACAGTCCACATACACACAGAGTTCAGTAGTGCAGTTAAGGACAGCAATATGGCAAGTGTTAAAGCAAGAAAAATTGACAGAGAGTGCAGAGTTTTCAAAGAGCAGTAGCTGACTGATTATTTTTTTGTTCAGTGTAAGGACCGTGCAGTTTGTCTGATATGTAAAGATACTGTAGCGGTTTTCAAAGAATATAATCTGCGTCGTTGGGTCATGCAATTCTGTTATACGGCCTAATCGATCCTGGCCCCCCATCACAGTCAGGAGTGATAATGTGGTCCCCAGAGCAAAAAGTTTGGTAACCCCTGTTATAGTTGCTTCCTCTTACCAAGATTTTAGAGTGAGAGAGTATCTTTAATCACTTATTTTCAAGATGCCATTTTGCCAGTTAGTATCTTTTTTTCACCCCACTGCTCTGTACTTACTTTGTACTTCAGTTTTATTTTCTTAAACTGTGCTACGTGTAGGATTCAGCAGCATCGCGCAGTCATTTTGCTACAACTGAAAATGCAGCTTTCCTTCGGAGGTGCTGACAGCTACTAAGCGATCTGTTGTGATGACAGAGACATCATCTCCAGTTGGGCACCGCATTTTTCTAATGTAGAAGTCAGCGGGCTTATTTCTTTTTTGATTAATATTGTGATTTAAAATATGCAAATGATAACACAATGATCCACATGCATCATAGATTATAACTGTATAGCAGACACAAGCATGAGAGCTTTTTTTATTTTAAGCCAGTTGGTTATTTTATGGAAACTACAATCACGTGTTTGAAAATTGTTATATCAGGGTAGCCATGGGGTCTTAAAAGTCTTAAATTATGTTGTCCAAGTCTTATTTTTTTCACAAAGGTCTTAAATTTCATTAGCCTATATTTTTTTGTATTCTCAACCTGACTGTAGTGCAATGTTCAATGGAGGGAGGGTGAAAAAAAAACAACAACATGAATGAACGTCTAATTTGGAGTATGCACAGACAATTATTTGTTTTCTGGTGCCAGTGGCAATGAGTAAACAATCAGTAGAGTGGAGGAAGATGCTAGATGGATCATGGGGAAGTGTAGGTTTAATCCGCAGTGGCTTTTAGATTCTAGATATAATAGTTGGTTGGTCTTTATTAGAATTGGATCTGGTGTTTTTCTCCGGCATAATGGGTGCGATTCTGGTCTTAATTTTCATTTAAGAGGTCTTAAAAAGGTCTTTAAAAAGTCTTAAATTTGTCATAGTCAAACCTGGAGACATCCTGCATATTGAATAGAAAATAACTTACTAGCGAATAATTTTTTAAATTTTTTTTAATTGTTTGTGAACTAGAAAGTACCGTGTTAGTTGTTAGCAGTGATATGACCCTTCTGAAAGTGCCTTTAAACTCATTGTGGTGAATAACTAATGCTAGAAATGTGAGGAATAATTTTGTTTTTCATGTTTTAAAGGCTGTAAAAACTTTATATTTAATGTATTCTCAATATGCATTTTACGATACTATTAAAATACCATAAGATCTTGACCCTTACCCCTCATTTGTAACTATGATGTCACCCCTAACTGAAAACACCCACAATGCAATGCAATTAATGTCCGTATAACTCTGATAAAACAACCCAACACACTAATGGAGAGGATTTTGGCCCCATGTAAATAGTCTGTGTGCACGTAGACAAACATGTTGACTTCTGGATCCGTGTGTTTGTGTGTTTTTGATATTTAGTGACTTAATGGCGT